AAGCATGTGAAATTAGAATGCTATACATACATTCAGAGCTAAATGAATCAACTAACAAAATTCACTACATCCCGAAAACGACGTGGATATTAGAGTCTGCAGGTGTATAAATGTAATTCATTTCAAGTGTGCGTCGACAGGGGATCAACCCTTGGACCATGAGCATTATCGACGAGATTCCTAACAGCTGTGCCACCGACGCACAGTAAAGGCAGATATCACAATAACGTCACTTGCGAAAAGTAATCTTAGCTCTGTCATACAGCAAATTTATTTGATAAGAACATACAGTGAGTGATGCAGTATTATTTGCTGATGATCTCTCTTGTGTACAACTAATCCTAGTGGGTTTATTGATATGAGAATAAAACTTGTGCATTGTGGTATAGTATAATTCCATTATGGACAAAATTTATTTTGTAAGAGCCTCACAGTAATATTTATTAATGATGTTTCAAGCACAATTTTTTGCTCATAATCATATTAAGATGATATATGACTATAATATGATTATGAGCAATAAATTGTGCTTGAAACGTTATCAGTATATATTAGTGTATAACACTGTGAGACTTTATCAAAATAAATTCGACCCATAATGGAACTAGTAGGTTTATTCTAACATATAGTCCAGTGCAAATATCAGAATGAGAACATAAGCCTTCCCGGTCACCTGTCAGATGGACAACGTGCCCTTGAAAATGTGGATGGCATTCGGACCTAGAAGCATTCAGTTTTAACTTCTTGGATGGTAGCTTCACACTTTTGGCCTCTCGACCAGGTACATAAAACAAATGTCCAAAACTGTCACTCCTCTCGTACCAAACAGGATTACCATAACAACGGTCAGATTGTACTTCACTGACTAATGTACTCACTAGTAGCATAAAAATATCATGTCTGCCAACGGACTAAACACAGCCTTCATATGATTACGATCAATTAAATTGTTTTTAAACATCACCAATAAATAATACTGCATCAGTGTGTGCTTTTATCCAGTAAATTTACTTTGTGATGGAATTATTCTCTACCCCATGGTATCCAAGCTCTGTCCTCATCCAAGTCATCTGGATTTCCAAAATACATTTGGTCAATACATCTTGTTACTGAAAACTGATGAAGAAAGTTGTGACGTGCACTGTATGAATAATCACTTCGATTACATAGTTGAAGACACAAATGATGAGGATTGGAGTCTCAGTTTGACGTAAGCGAGTGATAGTTAGCTCGACATTCATACGCGTCTGATTAAGGCGAGTGGAATTCATCAGATCAACTCCAAAGTGTGCTCATTTGTAAAATTATCAGATAACTTGGTGAAATAAGATATGAAGCACATTTTTAGGCTGATGACAGAACATCGTTTTAAACTTGATATAACGTTCAACTGAAGCACTCACGAAGAGTGGAATAGAGTCAACGTAAAGTAGAAATTATGGATATAGCTTGATGAGATCACTTCACGTCATGATGACATTCATTACAACTTGACTATTTTTGCTGAAAACCAAAAGAAACAGATTTTTATCTGCGTCAAAAGTTTGAAACATTCTGTTAAGCAATGTACTCTGATATCTCATTGTGTGTATTTCATCGTTAGGCTTAGTGAAAACGTCTGCATTTACATCATTATAAATTATGGTAACAGATCCCATTAGGATACAAATAGTAGTTTTCTAATCTATGATGTTCCTCCCATTTATGACTCAGCACTATCACTACTGTTACCTTGACGAAGAATATATATTTCCACATATAAAAGTGGCTATTATTTTTCTCAAGGAAGTCCAGAAAGCATACTCAGTTAAGAGGTTGTTCGCTGTTGTATACGAGGGAAATCACTTGTGTTACTAGCCGTCAATTATACCGGATTGTTTACACAAATGTGAAGATGTTGAGGAAACCTCACGAAATTAGAAGTTACACTTCATTTCATATTTCTATACAAAATGGTGGGTAAGATTTGGTTGTTCAGTTGTATTAGTATTCTTCTTGAATTGTCATTTACAATAGCTAATCAGTGATGTCTAGTGTATAACAGTTTGTCGTTCCGATGTAACCATTTGCGGCTACTGTAAATGATATGAAGTTTCGATGGATGGAGGCATAAATACTTCATCACAAGTGAGTAGTTGTTGGTGCCTCTTTGTCATGCACGAAGAGTCTGATAATCTTCCCAACCACCTACTTCCTTTTTGAAAGAATGTGGTGTATCATATCTTGAAAATGTCACTGCTTATCCTCGTACTAAATATCAATTAACTGTTTTAGTTTAGATGAAAAAGTCTCCTGTTATGCTGTATTTTAAGTAGATGTCTTGAAAAAAAGCCTCTTTTGAAATAGTTTGAGTGGCAAAGTTATTCTCACTTTTCTAATTTTTATACTCATGGGATGTGAAAGAAGAATATGCAATTCATTGTTCACTTGCTAGCTAAAACACAAGGACGTCTATGTTCAAGTGTTGGTTTGTAGGGATTTGATTGGTTACAGGATTTCATCATGAGCTGACATTGGTTAGAGAATCATTGGAAAACCTGAGATACTGGACAGCTGTTTCGTTCTAGTTTGGGACTCTTCAGTAGTACGCAACTGGGTTCGAACACTGGCGGGTGCGTACTCCAGGGTTTTCCAATGGTTCTCTAACCAATGTCAGCTCATGATGAAATCCTATTAGCACGTCTAGTTTATCAATAAATCTCTGATATTTATCTTTAGCTGATCTGAGCGTGTGATGCTGATCGGGATCTTAACCTTCACTTTATTTCACTCTTATATTGGTCGTGTGCAAGATATCACTGAGATAATCTACATCATGTGTGTGTAGTGTAACTAGTATGTATTACTAATAAATGTATTAAGTTATCACTAAGTAGTAACAATCGCTATCTATAAAATAATGGATATTGCGAAATCTGACTACTTATATATATATATATATATACTGATAATAGTAGATGCAAAATGAATCACCACGCAAACAATTCGCTCAAGTTTTTCATTTGATATCAAGTGAATATCGTTCAAATTTATCTTAAGTGATAGTGATTGTCAACAGGACTCCCGGAAATTGCCTTATTTGGGTAACCAGGTCAATAAACAGTGCCATCGCATTTTTGATTTAGTTGACAGGGGAAGTACCAACGTTCGTACGTTGAGTGTAGAATATTCTGCATAAAGTTTTGGTGATTTCGTTTTTATTCGTCACTGTAGCGTTTGAGAATCAGTGAGAACAAACCTTAGCTTTCCTTCCAGCCACAATGGACTTCGCAGTGGTAGTAATATCACACCAGGGCTAGTATTATACCTTCAATACTTGATTACTTTCCACTAGTATGATAACTCTCTCTGTTCATATCGCCTTAATTTTCTAATTTTACTTTCACTATCGTCACTTCTTATCATTTCTCAAATTCGCATTCAGCTTATCCCATTCAACTGTTTATTTATTTTTGTAGTGTTCGTGCTGCCTCTCACGCCACTGAGTAAAATGAACTCTCTAAAACCCATTCTTTCGTTGAATATGAACACATAAACACTTCACTCAGCCAACTGAACTCATTCATCTCACCTTCACACTGACTACATATTTTATATATCTTTTAACTGTATTCAAAATTAACGGACTGTCATTACATCTTGTGCGTTAACCACACTACAACTTCCTAAATAATTTTAATTCACTTTTAATGATTACTGTATGTTATCAGCAAGGGATTTATGATAGCAGAGCTTGATGAGATTACAGATAACAGTTATTTGCTGTGATTATTATTTTCCTAAATAGTGTATGGAAATATTGAAGCCTTTGGAAATCTACCATTATGTAAGCTGATTGGGTGATCGCAGTATGAAGTACTTTTTAATCACTTTGACTGTTCATTTCATAAAAAATGAAAATAAATTGCAAACATGAGATCTGTTTTCTTTTAATACTGTCATCTTTCCATATAATATGTAAGTTGTGAATGTAAAAAAAGTGGTGCAAAAACTAATAATAATATTGTTTCTATTCATATTTGTAAGAAAACAAAATCCTTGAGAATCATAGGACTTGGGCAGAACAAAGGATATAAATTATCCTAAAATATGTCTGTATCCTCACGTGCATTGAAAGAAATGTTTACAGTTAATTAAACTTTCCACGACCTTGTAGACCTGCTCAATAGATATGAAATCTGTTTTTCGTAATTACGTAGTTCTAAACTGGTGATGAATGAAACTTCTACGCATCCCAGTACCACAAACCATTCGCTCACTGCGCTCCATTTAAATTCTTCATATCCCTTCAACACGAATACAAAAGAAAACATGCATGAGAAGCAAATAAAACGACAACACGAAGTAATATATATATATTTATAAAAGTGTATAACGAACTTCGTCGCATTGCAGCAGTTAACAAGTTACTTCATGGTTTCAAAATGGTTAAGGTTGAGGTAAATAGTTGACCGGATTTCCAGACTGTGTCTGATACTCGCGAGTAGTATTGCTAATCAGAATAATATGATTTGTTTTATTTATTTTTTTTTGATTACAGCTTTATTCCACACTGTATTTTTGGTACAAATATGGAATTTTCAGCATGGATATCGGTAGCCCAAATTTTACAGGGCAACCATAGATATCAGGTGTGCGTCGGCGGGGGATCGAATCTCGGACCATGTGCATGGTCGGCGAGAGTCCTGACCAATATGCCACCGACGCATTGAATCCAGTTTGTATCTGACAGAATCTCCCACCCAGTTCATGTTTTTAATCTGCGCGATAAGTTGGCTTAATAGTTTGTTTGGGTGGACAATAGCCACGTCAGTCCTTACTTCGATATAGGTTTCCCTTCTTTGACAGATTGACAGGGCCACGTTTCTTTCAATTATCAGGTACCTTTCTTCACTCCTAGATCTTCTGTAGTAGTAGAGTAAGTAGGTGGTCAACTATGGCTTTCCAGTTGATTGACTGTCTCTAGATCATTCGTAATCTCATCCTCTCAGACCATTAAATCAACCTGTACATATTACTTGACTTACCACCTCATGTTTTTTTATATAGTAGAAGTCCTCCGCGTGCACAATTAAGCGTCCAATCTCATTGAAATATACGACTGTAATATGGAAAAGTTAGGCGATGTTGAAATTCAGTTAGTCAAAGACACTAAAAAGCTTCATCAAAGAAACATTTAATTATTTGAAATACCTACATAGTCAAACGATAAGATAATAATTCTAGAAGTAGATAATTCGGATTCGACTTGTGCTATAACAAATAGAATTATCAAAGCTACGGTGTGAAATTGAATTTATAACTCAGGACTTCAAACAACATTTTTTGGTACTCTGACTACTTAATCTACTCTCATTAACAAAATCACCATAGGTCAACTTAACACCGAATTACTAACAATTTTTCATAACTTATTCACTCTTCAGCTAATAACACTGACTCTTAACAGTTTAATCTGCGGACTAGCACCAAAACACTTTGGAATCACCACTGAACATTTGAGAAGCAAATGATATTTGAAAAGAAGTCAGATCATTAAAAGTGTATTAATAATGATTCTTAGTTAGCAGAATTGCAATATCCTCCTGAAATGAGAATGTCCATGAGTTCCTGGTTAATATGCATAGCTTGTTGTTTGCATTACTATTATCTTACTTTGCAAAAAACATTATCTGATGACTGGTGAAATTCATTTATGTATATTTATAATAAAATAAAAATACTCTGTTCGACTGTGACTCACAATAATATGCACCAAGAATCATCTGAATCCAAACAATAATTCTAGCCAAGGAAAACCATTTCCATGAACGAAAAGAATATGAAACAAGCAGAGCACCCAGTGGAATCGAACCCAGGTGACAATAGAAATTCATTAGACATAAGTTATAATGTGTTGCATTATTAGTTTTTAACTGTAAAACAAATGGTGTTATAGTGTTATTGCATCATTCAAAAACTAAGCTACAATATTTTGCGTATCACACACTGCATGACAATGAATAAAATGTTAATACATATATGTTTATATAACAGGAAGCCTTAATGATTCTGAAATCATTGCGATCGCTCCGATCACCATAGAGAGAACCCTAGCTCCACACATATTTTATTTATTTATTTATTTATTTTTGATTACAGCTTGATTCCACATTGTATTTTTGGTACAAGTATGGAATTTTCAGCGTGGATATCGGTAGCCCAAATTTTGCAGGCCGACCATAGATATCCGGTGTGCGTCGGCGTGGGCTCGAACCTCGGACTATGTGCATAGTCGGCGAGAGTCCTAACCACTGTGCCACCGACGCACATTAGTTATATGTTATTCATTCCAAAATTTATTTGAAAGTTACAGAACGATGGAATCATTGTCATTCAAGTAAATTTGTGTTACATGAAAATTTTGTTCATTTAAGTAGCACCAGCTCTGTAGTGATGTGTCAAGTGAATCATATAGCTTAAACACATCTAACAAAATGACAGCTGATCATCAATATAAAGCATTCAGAACACGATAAGCCCTGTCGCATTCAATATGGTAACAAATGAACTGAAAGTAAGAGTGATATAAGTTATTGTAACAAATGTACACATTGTCTTAGCAATAGAAAATTTCAAAGTGCTGTATTAACATTCTCCCTGCTTGTGATTTTAATTACTTAAGATTTTTTGAAGTTAAACATTTTAATTTCAAAGATCCGGACATGACGTCCAAACAAGTTGACTTCTGGTAATCTAATAATTCACAATTGGCAAGACCAATAAACCCTATTTCAGTATTGTCAATATTAAATGAATTTGTTTTATTATTTTAGTTAACGTGTACACTTTTACAAAAAAGACATTTGTGTGGCTAACTATCTCTAGATATCTAAACTCAAACACATTTTAGTCGATATTGATAAAAATAAATGGTTCTGGTCGGACAATCTATACGTACATTTAATTGAACACAATTGAACTAACTTGTTCACTCCACCGACAAATTACTGGTCCCATTAAACCACACTTTTTATCCATAAGAGAAACTTTATCTGGCTACTTAAAATATAATATCATATGTCATAATAACAAAAAGTGAGTTCAACTTACATCAATTATGGACAATGCTATGATGCATATGCCTGATATTGTAAAAGTTATTAGTACGATGATGCATAGTAGTCCACTAACCATTGAACAAGCATTTCTCTCCACAAGTCTTCTTCTCATCATTAAGTACCAAAACCATTGACTTATAATAGCTAAAGTAAAAATTTATTCTATTTGTACGAGCAATTAACTATCATCATTTAAACATTAAGAACCTATGAAAGATAAATTATCATTTGTCTGTGATTATTTAGTTTGATGGATGTCTCCAAAAGGGTTAACTCAGTATGAGGAGGTTCTGGGGACAGACACAATGAATAGTGAGAAAGTAGTGGTAGTCACGCTGAAGGTTTAAGATGTTAGTTAGTAAATATAAGTATAACGGTTGAAATGTGTGGAATATGTCATGGAATGGTCATTCTCTGATCTCAATTACTCGGAGAACAAGAGTGAACATCCATAAAGATCGCCAGCTTAGATCGGTGCATCCTGAACTTTAAAGTTTATTCACGGAAAATATTTAAGATTGATGAAACCAGTTGAGTTATCACATGCAGCTACCTAAATCACCGTCATCTCTACTAATATATCCTCTAAGAGAGTGTTCATTGAAACGCTCATCACAATAGAAGATGCTTTCACAATCTCGTTTCTCACTCATCTGTTCCGTTTACCTGTATGTTTACTAATTAGTGGCAAAACAGTCAAGTATGAGATAATTTGCAAATAAATCAGCTAATCAGTGTTGACCTGTTTAAGCAATAATAAATATTAGACAAAATATTTGTACATCACTGTGAGTAGAGTTGTTTCACTTCTTATCAAGTAGTTTACATTTGCATAAGCAAATGTAAACAATTTCCATCCAGCTGAAAAAATTCCTTTCAGAGATGAGAACTGCTAGCTGATTTATCTAGGCCAGTTGATATAATTTTACCTAAGAATTTCTTTTGATAATTCCATCTTCAACACTTTGTTGCCAACATTAATGCAAACCATATAATTAGAAGATCATATTTTTCTTCTGCGGTTAAGTAGATATGTATGTGTCCAACTCAATTATCGATTACACGCACCACAACATGATAAATATCCACCTATCTATCATGATATCTATCTATCTACCTATCTGTCTATCTATCTATCTATCTATCTATCTATCTATCTATCTATCTATCTATCTATCTATCTATCTATCTACCTATCTGTCTATCTATCTATCTATCTATCTATCTATCTATCTATCTATCTATCTATCTATCTATCTATCTATCTATCTATCTATCTATCTATCTATCTATCTATCTATCTACCTATCTATCTATCTATCTATCTATCTATCTATCTATCTATCTATCTATCTATCTATCTATCTATCTATCTATCTATCTATTTATCTATCTATCAATCTATCTATCTATCTATCTATCTATCTATCTATCTATCTATCTATCTATCTATCTATCTATCTATCTATCTATCTATCTATCTATCTATCTATCTATCTATCTATCTATCTATCTATCTATCTATCTATCTATCTATCTATCTACCTATCTGTCTATCTATCTATCTATCTATCTATCTATCTATCTATCTATCTATCTATCTATCTATCTATCTATCTATCTATCTATCTATCTATCTATCTATCTATCTATCTATCTATCTATCTATCTATCTATCTATCTATCTATCTATCTATCTATCTATCTATCTATCTATCTATCTATCTATCTATCTATCTATCTATCTATCTATCTATCTATCTATCTATCTATCTATCTATCTATCTATCTATCTATCTATCTATCTATCTATCTATCTATCTATCTATCTATCTATCTATCTATCTATCTATCTATGTTTATGTCACAGATCAATTTATCTGTCCATTTATGAATTTTTTGTTAACTTTTTCTTCCGTGAGGATGCATCTTATTCCGATATATCGGATTCGACTCAAAGAATTCTCCCGAAGCTATTTTGAGTACTAATAGTAAACAACGCTAATACAGTTTATTGATAAAGTTTATAGTTTACATAAATATTTGATGTGCTTACTGAGTAGTCCATAGAATCCCATTAACGCAGTAAAAAAAAATTTTTCCGGTGGATTTATACCAAGAGCGCTGAATAAAAGAAAATGGATTTATTTTTTTTATTTAGATTACAGCTTGATTCCACACTGTATTTTTGGTACAAATATGGAATTTTCAGCGTGGATATCGGTAGCCCAAATTTTGCAGGCCGACCATAGATATCCGGTGTGCGTCGGCATGGGCTCGAACCTCGGACTATGTGCATGGTCGGCGAGAGTCCTAACCACTGTGCCACCGACGCACAGAAGAAATTAAGTGTATAGTAAAAACATCTTATTACTTGTGAAACATACTTCATTCTAATATATTTTGCACATGATGTTTGTTATTTTGCATATGCATATATACATGTTACATAGAAGGAAAAGACTGTACTGGCTATTTGTAACTTTCCTAAAGACGTTTTTAAACAAGTCAACAGAAATGCCTAAATTCAAAGTGACCAAATCAAATGTGAGTGCAGAGAAACGAGATGAATACTTTAGATTGTGAGCCAGTAGTCGATTCATTATCACTGACACACAATGATGCGAGTCGAAATTTCAGATGCGATGTCATTCTTCTAAAGCTAACCAGTATGGTTTATTGGTGTATATTAGACGCAAAGACATTTCGGATCACTTCCATCTGACAGATCCTAAAGGATAATATCTCATTTCCATTTGTACAACCAATGTATGACATACACTGGAAAATAAGTATTCTGTTCCAACCTTAGAACAGAATACATTTTTTTAGTTAAACAAGAGATGTTGTGAATTTGTAGTATTCGTTTGTTATCTGACAGGCAACAAAACTGTCGGTTTAACAGTGTGAAACTTTCACTACATTATGGATTGTAGATACTGCGCCTAGTATGTCATGGTTTCTGCTGTTAAAACTGTTGGTCAAACTAGCAGATCACCTTTATGATAACGAACTACTGTCCCTAACTACTTCACGAAATCTATGCTACAACCTTTTTTTTACTTCTCTCCTCTAGTTCAGATGGACATAGATTAGAATTTGAATAATTGATTAAACAACAAACGTAGGGAGGATAAACCTGCAGTCATAAACTAGTCATTTATACTGACAAAATCCATGTTGACTGAAATGGAATCACAACTTGACTATTGGATAAGTCCCTGAGTGAGTACTAGTAAAAATGTCAAGCAGTTATCTTCAAGCAACATAAATTATTTAAAATGATTCAATCTGACTCGGTAAACAAATTATTCCGGGAAACTCGTAACATACACGGTCTGGAAACTTATAATATAAGGTTGTTTGTTCGATTTCTGAAGCAATTTATAATTTCAGTTGAACTTCAGTGGTTACATTCTCTGTTCTGTTTGAACGAATGATGGATAGTTTTCTAGTATGAATGGCGATCTAGAAATTTGAGCAAAATCTATTATCATTCATATCATCCAGACCCTTAGTAGAAATACTGATCACCAATTACACCACGTGTGCTGTCAATTACAATGGAGTCAGTAAATTTCATAACCTCGCTTAGTTTACTTGATCACGAGTTTTCTAGCAAGCTACAAGCCCGGCGAAGTAGAGTGAGGCATGCTACCGTAAAGCTGAAGATCAAACCCATTTATACGGAAATTTCAAAACACAACAAAATTATCGATAACCAACGTCTTCTTCGTTGCAATCGGAGAGATAAAATGACGCGGATTGGTGGAAGTCATCAAGGAGACGGTCAGCGGATTTGTTTCTTCATTCGTGATGAAAGCGAGAATAAGAGTTGGGACATGGAATGTACCTACAAGGAACTATGGCGTGACGGCTGCCCAGGTAGCCAAAGAAATGAGACGATAGTGCATAGATGAGCTGGTGATCTGCTAGACCAGATAGAATGCATGAGGACTATCAAAATTTTCTACTGGTAAGTCAGTAATCTACTCGGTTTCGTCGCCCGGGGGGAAACCCACACTGAGGCAGTGAGAGGCTATCATAATATAACCAACACCAACATCACCAATACCATCAACAAAAACGATATCAACAAATGCTATTATGAGGTGGGACCCAATCTCCTGATACACGATCATGACAGCAAGATAATACGCACAGTGCTACAAACAACTCAGGGATAGAGAGAAAGGAAGATTTCCATAGACAAACGCAAACACTAATGGACAACATCCTAAATGGCGACATCAAAATCCTGATGGGCCATGTGAATGCAAGAGGAACATGGAGCAGACCATACTGGAAGAGAACTCATGATTGGTCGATAGGTCCTCTCTCGGCAAAATGAATGAAATTTGAATGAAAATTTGAGTGCGTTGGCTGAGGATCTAATCCAAGACCACATGCGTGGTCGACGAGCATCTTCTGGCTGTGCCACCGACGGCTAGGAGAAATAACACCGTGTTACACCTGTGAGGTCAATTACATATGTCACACTAGTATATCAAGGTGAACTAGGTTATTACAAAACGAAAAAATTTAGCTAGACCTAGAAAGAGAACAAACATATACGACACAAACTGTGATACAGTGAGACTAAAACTGACATGATTATAAGCAACAATTTATTCTCGAAACGTCATCCAGTTGTTAGTACTGTGTCACTGTATGATATTTATTAAAATAAGCATATCTAATATGAAATTACACTCTATAACAGTGCCAAAAGTTAAACATTTACATTAATAAGAAATATGAGTGAAACAGTTATGGTATTTGGCTTATGCGAAAGAGTTTAGAATACCATTCAAGATGAACTCTCAACTAAACTTTCGATTTCTCAACCATTATAAAGATGAAATAAAAGCGCCCAAAGCATCTTATTCTGCGCTGTCATGACTTATCCTAACATAGTGTAAAATAGCTTTGCACGAATGCATAATATTATACCTATGCTCTGTGAAGATATAACAATTTACCAGACCCTTCTAGGTTTGTAGCACTCCAAACTGCAAAATAGATCCAGAAGTAAGTGGTTGGCGCTTGACTTGAAGATGTCTTGGCAAGTCGTTTGCCTTCTTAGCATTTGTTTTTCTGGCGACTTGGGCTGGACTCAATTCTTCTGAAAAATCACAGCTAAGAGGGTAACATAAGTTACCAGAACAGTTACAATCTGAGTTGCATATTTACACACATACATAAATATAATTTGTACTCACCTCACGTATGGAACAACTGGTTGTATATGATCATAATAAATTGCGATGAAATACCTGAAATAAAGATGGGCAGATAAATATCTTGCAAATACCCACTTAATACTCTTGATAATTACCTCTAGATAGTAAGAAGTATATTACCTTCAAGGTGTTGTTTGAAAATGTTTTGTGATTTCGCGGTGTGATGCCTTTCAATTGGAAATAAATGTCATCGACTTGGGTCGACATCTTCAATCACTCAGTAAGCAGTTCATATAACATGAAATCACCTTATATATTACACAATGATACTTTCAACGTGTATCTTCACTATGTACTACCTTTCCTCATTATCCAACTATTCCTGTGGAAATTCTTCATCGGTTTGGAATACTACTGTAGAACACCTAATCCTTATATATTAGAAAGTAAATTCACTTATGTGTTGATTTATTGTTTGCACTAATTTCCTTATTTCTACTTTGATTTATCGCATTTCAGCTTATGATATGCAAATATTTATCAGTAGAATAAAAGATGATTCAACTTAATTTAGTTTGGCATTCAAACTACTCATATACAGAAACCATTCGTTGAATTGTTTCATGCTACTTATATTTTCCTTTGTGATGTCGATGACACATATTTGGCGCTGTTACGGAAAATAAAGCATTCTGATTTACAAAGTGTTCCTGTTTATTATAGATGAATACACGAAGGGAATTGCAACAAAATAAACAGTAGAGTAATTCAAAATCCATTTGTACTCACACAACTGGTAACCAAAACAAAGCGTGAATGACGGCGAAAAGTGGTATGCGAGATGGATAAAACTTAGGCCACTCCATTGGGAAAAGCTGTTTTTATAATAAACTACTGGATATTTCTACAGCTGATAAACCAAAGGAAGAGAAAGAAACACACACATATTTATTAATGTTACTAAACATTGTTAATGTTATAACGGCTTATTAGTATGTTATCAGATTTTAGAAATCTAATTCAATACGGACGCCGGATATAAACTATCCTTATGGGAAGAAAACTATTGCAACAGGGTAAAAAGAGCTTCTGTCTTTCAGAAATGCTGCTGAAATTTCTTATCTCAGCTTTTGTTGTGAATTTGGCGCTTCAGAAGAGTCAGTTAGGACCTAGATTAGTCCAGCTGCTATTAAGAAATGTTTAGTGGCACACAAAACCTAGCACTTGAACAGCAATGTGGATAGACCAGTGTCTTACTTTCATCAAGTCATTACCAACAAACAGTAATTTGAAACACAGGCTCTTATGTTACTTCTAATATCACTCGTACATTAATACTATGAAGCAAACACCTTACTCACAGGAAGTGATTGCAAACTGCAAGACTTCATTTCGAGTGAAGTGGATGATTCCACAAACATAAACAAGTGAATATCACGCACAATCAAACCTTTCATATACACTGTACATCAAGTGTGGTTATCTCAGAAATCTTATCCAAAATTTCAATTAATAAAGATTGGTTGAACTAAGAATTCCCCTTTGATCCACTGTCAATGTTAAACGATAGTAGAATGACTGAATACGTTATAATTTTACTTGAGATTTTTTGAACGATATATTCAACGTGCTGACAGGACTTTTGAGGCTGATAGCTATCGGTGTGTTTCAAATGCTCAGTTGTGTCAATGGAATTTCAGATACATCATATGAATAACAGTTCAGCTACTTATAGTAAACACTATTAGTAATGACAGTTTGAAATGAGTGAATAAGGGACAAAATTGATTAGTTCGTCTACAACATGAATGAAACGAGGTCTGTTCCAAGAGAAATAGTTTGATGTTGATTTTGAATATTCTTCATAATGCGACTACAGTTAATATTTTCCTGGT